GACTGGTTTGTTCCCCCCCCCCCCCCCCGCCCCCCTCCCCTTCTTTAAATGAATCCACCACTGACAAAACACTAGCTCACAAAATCCCCATATTTGTAATGACGTTCCTGTAAATCTATCTTAATACCAGATTGGGTATGCAGATCCTCTTTCCAGTATGCACGCTTGTAATAAGATGTAGCTCTTTGGATTCTTGCACATAACTAAAGCACCCCTGCAAGCTCAGGACAATTGTCAGCATTCATTTTGTACAGAAACTCCCAGATTTGTACACAATGTCATTAGAAACATAACATGCTGTAAAAAATTTACATGCATCCATAAACAAATCCACTAGAGCTCAGGAACATAAGTGTAGGCTCTTCTAGGTAGACTTGACCTAAAATGTTTGCAGGATATAAGAAACATACTTATTTTAGCCAATTTATCTTTAGCCTATTTATCTTTACTGGCTTACAGAGATATGCAGTGTATTTAAGGCAAAGACTTGCATGAACTATGCACACAAACAGAAAGCATTAAGCTAAAAATAATATACATGCACTTTAAAAGCAGATTTTTGAATACAAAACACACTCCAAGATATACTGTACAACCCTTTTAGCACGTAAACAAGCTACAGATACATCATAATCAATCCTTTGAGCTTCCATAGTGCCTTTTATCCCATGATCTCAAAATTCCTTAGTGGCACTAATCAATTAAAGATGAAAGCATTCTTTTTAGATAGGCTATGCATATAAAAATCATTTCACATACTGAAATCAAGCAATCTCTTGTACAACAGTTGTTGCCATGCACAATTCCTCAAAATAGCTTAGAGAGGAAAAAAGGATCTTATATTCAGTTAAAATTTTAATGGGATTTAGTTGGACAAATGGTAGTTATGCTTCTCTTCATACTTCATTAAAAAAAAAAAAAGGCGGCTAATGGCAGTCTGAGGAAGAAAACTTCCACCAGGATCAGCTAACTAAAGTCCGCACTTCAAATTCTCAGACTAGCTCCCTACAGAGTGAAATAAAAAATTGGTATCTAAAAGTCAAATACCTTCAGTCCTCGCTGCCTGGTGCATTTTCCCATTAGTTTTTCATCATCTATTTCACACTGCTCCAGAAGATCCAAAATGTCCTCCTCCTAGAAATGGGAATTTCACTACAATTAATTTAAAGCAGGATATATGCTATCCTTCCAAAAGTCAAGCACCAAGTGGTAGGAATTTGAAATTACTTTGATTACTAATTCCTCAAATAAGACTATGAATCCCTCCACAGGAGGATATAAAAGTATTTCTTCTGATGCATGCATCTCTGCTTGCAATCAACATGAAATTGAAAGTTAAAATCAAGTCTTAATATTTATTAAAGTCTGAAGAAAGGGTTGAACAAAGAGTCCTGTAAATCTGCTGGATGATGCCAACTACAAAGATAGGAAACTATTTCTCTGATTTCAAATTAAATCACATTAGTTGGTTATTTTAAATATAGCCATTTTCCTACTGTCTCTGACTAAGTAAGTAAGCAATCAGGCAGAGTTCTTGGATGCCTTAAACTGGTGGAGCTGGTTTTATGATATCTCTCGTTCCAGTCCATACAAGTAGATGAATAGGCTGGGGACATTACTGGAGGAAGAATGAGGCAATTACCAGCTCAAAAGCAGTTTCTGCCAACCTCTGGTTTGGCCAGGGGTAAGGCTGAGGATCAGGGAAATGGTAAAGTAGCTTAAAGCCATCTAGCCTGTCTCCACCCTGGGTCCACTGCAGTTCATCCAGATTCAAGGATCTGGCCCACAAGCTGCACAAAGAATAATAATAAAATGATGGAAACATTATCAAATGCTATTTATTAGCCATCACACATGATTATTGTGAAACTAATCCAAAAGGTCATGAATTCAAAGATAATAACTCCTAAAGCCAATACTTCTTATGCTTCAGTACCTTCATTCTTTTTAAAGGGTTATTCATTTCCCGCTGAAGTGAAGCTGCTCTCCCAGCAAGAAACGTCTGGAAAGCAGTGGCTAACAAACTCTCATACTTTTCAAGTAATGCCTTATCATCAGGAGGGTAAATTCGCCTAAAATTGGGGAGAAAAAAAACTGAGTTTAAGATAGAAGCTGAGCTACTTATCACATTAGGGACAAAAGAAATGCAGCTAATTCACAGTCTCTTCTATAATGCATATGCAACCCATCTATAATAATTATATAATATCTTACCATAAAACATATGCTCTGAACATTGCTCTCTAAATCTAATTTTAACTCACTGAACACATACATGTTTAAATCAGCAATTAGCCAGTCAAAGGAAATACCATGCAGGTCATTCCAGAGATATACCAAACTCAAGTTTTGCAGTGTTCTGAAATTTCAGTGGGTGTGAATGATGCATGTAGGTGTGAATGATTCATGAAATATTAACAAAATATTGCACATAAAATTAAGAGTCACAAAATTATTTGTATTAGCAATAAAAGGACACAAAACTGAAAATATGAACAATTGCTTTGAGTTAATGGGCATGATGTAAATTAAAGATTGAATATGTATTGCATGTGAATGCTAAATCCTCCAAAATAATGAACAGGAAGAAATAGATACTATTGGAAAAAAATTTTTTCTGGTTGACGGATGTGTAGGATGGCTCTGATTTTCCATTAGAGCAGCTATGCCATTCTTCTCTAAAATCACCAGTAAGGAGATTATGACAATATGAGAAGCAGGACTTGGTGATTTATTCATGCTCATCAAGCAACAATGGGCTTTGAAGAAAACCACTCCAATTTGTCATGAATGCCTGAAGCGCAGGCAAAAATTATGAAGATGGAAGACTAATTTCTAATGTATTGTAAGGAGTAATCCATACATTAATTCTGCCTGCACTGTGCAAAGCATAGGTACCGCTTACATATTGACTGGCATTATGTGACTTTTATGCTTTTGTGAACTTTTTAGAAGGTTCTTTTTCTTCTTTTTAATGATGATTTTGTTGCAATGAAAAAAGGATGGTTATGATCCTATTAGACTCAGGGCAGTTCCAGAGCAAACTGAAGACAGTTCCAGTTTGCATAAAACATCTCTAGGAGCTCTAATCTAGTTGCAGTCAATACTTTTTAATGGTGTTGCTCCTACTGCTGAAAAGTATTCTTATACAGCACTTTTAAGGAAAGGATATTCATTATAGTATATGTAGAAATACACTGCAGCTAAATGCCATTTCAAAGTCACATACATACTTTTCAGTTCCTCATGAATTCACAAAAGCTTGAAAGCATGGCTTCTACTTTGACCACCCCAGGACTCCTACTGGAATCAGAGGGCTAGTTGTGCTTGCAGACACCTGACTAAGCCAACTGCTGAACTGACCTCCATAGATTAAATCAAAGCCTGCTGAGGTTGATTGAGGTTTCTCTGGATTTTTATTCAGAAAGCAGTATTAATCCATGCAGCAATACTAGCACCCAAAATTTCCACGATTCTTTGGCAATGCCTAACAGAAGGTAGTCCTGCTCTGCAGGAAAACATCATAAGAAGAAAATACTGCATACTGCTCAGATAAAATTTCTCTGCATCTCTAGCAAAGATTCCTTTAATTCTCAGGGTCTGCTGATTCTTCAGCCGTTTTGCAAACACAAGATAATAAGAAAACACAAAGCTGATCTACGCTTTAACACATGCACATTCCTCATGAAATGACAGTTCACTTTTTCCTGAGGGAAAAAAATATTTTTGTATTTTTATTGATTTACATAAACCAAAAGGCTAAATAAAGAGAACATTTGGCTCATTTTCAGTCAAGAACTGAATAAGCAACCTAAAATGTGATCAGTTAAAAAGTTAGACTTTAAAGTTATCAAAAAAAGCAAAATGTATTAAAGCATCATGATGTTTCTCTTTCTTATAGTCTAATAAAATAACTGCTTCATTCTGGGTTTTGTTTGATGTACTAGTTCAGCAACACATATGCCACGAAAGAACCATCAGGATTGGAAGGGACCTCGAGATCACCTAGTCCAATCCCCCTGCCAA